TAATGAAATTTTCCCTAAAGTTGTTTTTGGGAGGTTGGAGTGTACCATGAAAATTTCAAGTCGATCCATTAAGTTTTGAGATTTGGCAGTACTTTGTAGCAAGGGTCCTCTGGCCAGAAAAGGGTCGTTTCTGGACGTTGCGCCGAAAACAGCTGTTTTTGGCTGTTTTGAGGAGCACTCCTTCATGGCAGCGAAACAAACTCGTCCTTGCAAAACTATTCATGCTGTTCAGAGTGGAGGTCATTAGGGTGCTTGAAAAGAGGTATGGTGATAGAAAACGTGTTTCGAATGCATTGATCGTCGAACTCGCCGTGGTTCGCACCATTAATTTAGGCTTGATCTGGGGGGATCGGAGTGACGTTTCAGACGCAATTTTTTTTGGTCAAGGCTTTTCGAGCTCTTTTGCCACTGTCAAAGCAACTGAGGGAGGTCTCCCAATCCTTTTAACTAGGAGCCGGAGATGGTAATGGCTATCACCTCGATATGGCACAAGCAATTAGTGAATTGGCAATTGCCACGGGAATGGCGACATGTCCTTGTTTCGGAACTTTAGAGGATTGGGTGCAAGGGGGATGGCCACAAAGGTGAATTTGGGATCTTCTAGAGTGATGGAGTCTTGCTAGGTTCCAATGGATTGTGTACCGTGCACAAGCGTTTGGCACTGTATCCACAAACAATGGCAATTTTGGGGCTTCCAGCTTAGGGGCCATGCAAGTCCCGATTCAAGCATCAACTAAGGCGAAATATCCAAGCAAGGCTACCAAACAGCCTTGGAGCGACAGAACGCACTGATCCTAGGCTTCAAGGTTGTTTACATTGGCCTTTCCGCTCGTTGGAGGTCCCCCCATCGGAGATCGAGAAAACCGGCGATTTCTGGTATCGTCAACACTGTGACGATGGCTGCTTGAGACAAGGATAAAGTCATGTTTGAATGTGTTTGGCAAGTGCTATGCCATGTGCCGGACCCTATCCTTTGCCCCAAAGGTGGCAACCATTGGCATTGCAACCCCTAGGCACGGGAGCGCCCCCAAACCAAGGGGGCCTGCAAGACCGCGGAAATTGAACGCGCATTTTTTGGACTGTGTTAAGGCAATTTTGGGGGCCAGCTCATAGGCCTGAGAACTAAATATTTTTTCTTGAAAATTCGAACTTAAGGGTTTTGAGACCCAATCTTTCCGATTCTGACCTTCATTTGTAATTTGGATGTAGTTTTCATGACGAGATTTCTCTCTCAAGTAGACGACAATTAATATGGGACGGAGGAAGTAGCAAATAAGGAAACAGCAACCAAACATCAAAGTAAAAAAATCATACACTCATCAATCAATCATCTAAGGATGCAATCTAATTCATGTCCTTCTCATCTGACATCATGTTGAGAACAACCTGCAGCCAAGAGATGTTGAGATATGCACAACAGAGTGCAGAAGCACAAAACAATATAGGCTGGACTTGACGATACACAATTGCTTTGCTGTATACAGTGCCATGCCAAAAATGCCAAGCTTGGCCCAGCTTCATATTGCTCCACTCAAAACTCAAAAGATTTGTCCAGTCCTTGATCAAGCTACCCTGAACAACTTCCCAGATCCATATTTTCAGCGCGTACAACAGTATGCAACAGGAATCTGGGATTGCAAGAGTGTATGAATGCCAAGATACCAACAGCTACAACATGATCTTCTCAACAGTGTGTTTAAGTTTGTGTCTATAAATGCCGCTGACCTGTGTCCTGTGAAGGCGTGAGTTGCAAAACCACCCTCAACATCCCATACTCGGACACTCCTGTCAGCACTCCCAGTGGCAAGAACAGATCCAGTTGAGTCAACAATCATTTCCGCAACCGGCGCTTTATGTGCCTGCCATCAAACACAATGGTCTCAAAAATTGGAGGACTGTGTGCAAAATGGTGCCAGAAAGTCCCACTGAAGCTGACATCAATATTGTCAGCTCAGACAAGGCTGTAAGCGTGGCACTGAAAAGATGGAAAGCTGGCAGACAGTTTCAGCAACCAATGGCACTGCTTGAAGGACAAAAATTGAATAGCTCAAACACAAAGGGCCGAGTGTGGTGAGAGTTGCAATTCACTATTTCTGCTGCTTTCGGTACCGTCGCAATGCCAGCACACCAGGGTCCACAGTTTTGTACATCACCTACACCATTGAAAGTTCTGCACATGTTTCCAAGTGACGAGCATTTGCACACTACATGGTTTGTATGCTTTTCTTCTAAAAGTTGTTGGTGTTGGCTTATGGGTGCTCATCTGCACATGAGTAGAATATTCAGCTCTCCTGTGGATCCCCAAAGCGAGCAAAGGCCACCGCTTACCCTCCATGCCCGGAGGCAATCACCCTCACAGAGGTCCCATTTCCTGACCGTCAGACTTCGAGAGGCTGTGAACATGACCATGCCATCTGGTGTGAGGGCAATGGATGTGATAGGCTCGCCATCCTGCCAACAAATACAGGGAGCGTTGTTGTCAATAGGGCAAAGGTGGCAAGCAACAAAATACACACTGGGGAAACATATTCAACGAAATGCGAATTACCACAAGGGATGGCCAGGGAGCAAGGCTGCTGGCCTATGCTTGGATAAGCTGACAATGCTAATTTTCACGCTTCATTGCGAATGCTGAAGGGCTCTGAAGCCGCTGACTTGTGGCCAGTGATCTTTACATCTGTCCATCAGTTTGCAGGCTTTGCAGTCCAACTTTCAGACATGCTCATTCTGGCCACTTGAATTCATATGTGCTTGTCATTTTGCCAGCGCATTGCTTCATGCTTCCCACAACGCAGATGCTCTCATCCCTTGCCCACAAAGGTGACAACAGTCTCAAAAGTCTTGCTAACGATGGATATCGCCATAACATGATTTTTCTTCCATCCTTCAAACTGTGATGGGCTGCTCTAATGTTTCCCTAGACCCGATGTTCCTGCCTGAAAATAGGAGAAAGCTTAAGCACTTGAAATTCCTCAAAACTGCTTGTTCTTTCTAGGTTTTCAACACAACAGAGGACCTATTCCACTGCCGCTGTTGGGAATTCTCACACCCTTCACAAACACAGTGACATAACTTCTCATACCAGGTTGCAATGGGCAGCCTCTTCAAATGAATACCATTACTGAAACCACTGACATCTAAAATGGGCAGCTGCTGCACTTAATATTAATGCAACAATTAGCAAGGAGACTCGACTATGCTTGTTGCAATCAGGCGCACCCCAGGACATGTCTTGACCACCGTTCCACTCCCGACATCAACAATCTGTGCAAGCACACTTCATTAGTCAAAAGTCAAATAGACACCTCCAAATGATCCCACCCAACACAGCGGCTTCGTGAGGACTGTGCACACAGAACCTACAAACAACTTCACTGCAGGTAATTTGTACAGCTCATGTCTTCATCCATTCAAGGCGTTCCGGGCACTGCAGACATGCACCCGATGCCAATCCCCTCACTACCGCCATGTGAACACAGCAATTGCAGCCCGCCACGAAGTCAACTCAAATCGCGCCGGGCGGCCGCCGATCGACCGCAACTGCGGCCGCACCTTGGTCTCCTCCCCGCACGCGCACGCCGCCTGACCACCGTCGGGCGTCAGCCTCACGGGGCCGCCCGTGTAGAACACCTCGAGCTTGGCCCTCGGCCTGTAGGTCTGCTTCAGGCGAGGCGCGGATGGCGCCATCGCTAACGCAGAGCCGTCCTCAATCCCCAATTAAGCGACCTGGCATCGCCGCCGGAGTGCGATACTTTTGTATACCGCGCGGCGCTGCGCGTTGCAGTTTCGCGCAGTGTTTCCCGCGTAACGCCGGCCGAGGGGCGGTGCCCTGGGGCGCCTGGTGCAGTCCTTGGACCGTCAGTCGGAGTAGTCGCCGACAGGGTGGGCCGCCTGCAGCTGTGCCCCATTAGGCCCGTCACCAAGCAAATGTAGGTCAAGAAGGGGAGCGGTGGTGGGCTGTTGGGCATCTGTTCTGCACTAAAGTACGTAATTTGCCGCTGGGGCGTCGGAATTACCATTGTGCTTCGGCGTTCGCCTTTGCGGGTGAGGGAGTCCAAGGGCTCTGAGTGCCGTGAAAGAGCGGGTGACGGACAGAGCAGGTGGGCCGCTGCACTTCCGGTTTGACGTGCAAGCGACGACAAAGTGCCCCAAGTGCATCATGCGTTGATATCGGACAGAGACTCGATGACATGACACCCTGAACTCATGTTCTCCCTTCAGAACCGCTGCCCCATGTGAGAATCCATTGCGCGGTGCAGTGGGCCATGGCGTTTTCGCATTGTAGCACCTTAAGAGGAAAGAACATCTCCATGGATGGGACAGATTAGACTGCGATTGCCAGTGATGCGCGCCAACTGCCAATTCTTGCGGAGACAGGTAGGAAGGAGCAGTGATTTTGTCCGCCAAACTGTTGATTGAGGAGTCATTGCGGACTGCAGAAATTGGGAGGCCACCAAATGCCAATTGGAGCATGCGGAGTTCGACGGGTGGCAGCTGCTTGTTCAGCGTGGTTGAAGGATGGGCTCCCCTTCACATGCGTCCAGTGCGGAAAGTGCTGCAAAGGTCCGGATCGCCTGGTATGGGTAAGTAGCGACACACACAGTGGAGGAGGACAGCGGTGGACCCAAATAATGGAAGAGATTGGGGTTTGTGGAACCATTTCGGATGGGATATCAGGGGGGCAGAAACGCCTTCAGTGTTGGTTTTACAAGTATGTTTATCAACACCTCCACCATGATGAGCACACTAACAGCGCATTTGCAGCAGTCTCTCATCCATTGCGCCAATTGGCTGGAAGCCATTGAAGTATCAGCACTTGCATCAATTCCCTGTGAGTGTTAATCTTTCACAGTCCAGTGGAAGCGATGTATCTTAACGCTTCATATCAATATGCATCCCATAGAGCACAAGTACACAAGTAAGCCATCGTTGGGACCGCAGCAATGTCCCAGCACAGATTCAAGGATGCAAGTGCTCGATCCAGATTCAAGTATAAATGCTCCTGTGCTCAGGTCAATGCGCGTGAGATTCAAGCCATGGCTGGCTTCCTAGGAATCGCTGAGGCAGATTTCATAGAGAGGCATGTGGCTCCTGCTGGCCAGCTCAGTGAATATGCTGGAAGGTGGCTGCTGCAAAAGAAGGTGGGAACTTCTGCTTGTACTTTCCTTGGGGATGACAACAAATGCATGGTGCACGAAGCAAAGCCCACGCAGGTGAGCGAATGTTTTATGAATGCTGGGAACTGCTCCATCCAGTTGTGTAATTGGTCTCTTGCACAGGATCTGGGCAGAATTCTGGGCATTGTCATATTCTGCGTGCCATAGGCAGCGGGCTACAGGTGTGCATGCAGCGACGCCGTGTGATGAGGGAATGGCAAGAAATTCCCCTTTAAGCGTTGATTTATCAGCATTCCAAGATGCCTTAGTGCCTTGCTTATGTGTTGAATCAGCGATCTGCAATAATCTCTTGTGATTATGCAAATCACATTTTGTAAGAGGCGATGATCTTACACAATTGGGCTGTGAATTGGTTGCAAGTTATGCATTTCTCTGCAATCAATCGTTCAAGCAAAAGGCTACCTTGGAGTGTGGATACAGTCTTCCTGGCTTCACTCACGGGCTCTTTGCTGCTCCCCTAACCAGAGGTGCAACTGCACATGACTGTGTGTGACCCCGTGTTTGCAATGACAGTGTGCAACATACCCTTTCTGGCCCCAGCACCTCATTTCAGAGTATGATTGGAATGCAGAGTCACGCAAGTGTGACGGGATGGGACAGTTGCAAGTGGGATCCGAGCAGCGACATTCGTGTCAGCACAATGCCCAACCTTTGCGTGGTGAGAGGCAAAATGCCCTGGTTCACCGATGTATGTGAATGTTGGCTTCATGTACTGATGTCCAAGTCATGGCAAATCACCACCATTGCCATTCCCTTGTCTGCAATGTCTTACATATTATGTCCTTTGTATTATGCCATTTGGGGTGGATTGAGAAAGCTCGATGAACAACAAACGTGTCAATTTTACCTCCCAGCTTCCCTTTCACTTGTGCATGTGGTTGTATGTCGTGATTCCACCGATTACTGCAAGCACGCTTTGAAGGCATTAGGGCATTGTGCCAAGCTTGCAGACTGGAGCTCATTGAGAAAGGGAAATCACTGGTTCTTTGGTGCATTCTATCCACTGTGGAAGCATGCCATATTGAACCTATTTTTATTTCCCCAGCATGTCAAGGCATGCAGTACCCCCCCTCCCTGCTCAACGCTGTTTGAGGCAAGTTTTCCTGCTGTTATGCACATCCACCAATACCTACAACTAAGTTAAGTGGTGTAGTTCAGGAGCTGGCTGCAGCTGCTGCTCTCTGATTGTCTCTGATTGCATGTGTGTGAATATTATGGTTGGCCAAATGCATTGCAAAGCCACTGGTAATGCGATTCAATCCTCTTTTCAGCTGCGTTTCCAAATGGGTTTGTTGCATTGCGCTTTAGAGTCCATGTTTGCAGCAGCAGGAGCAGCAGGAATTTGACAAGTGATGGCTGTGTGTCTCTCTCCCCAACGCCTTTTATCTTCTTGCAATCGGAGATTTTACATCATTTTCGCAGTACAGAATGGAGCCTAACGCACACTTGGTTAGGGGGTCCTATATGTGACTCCTTTCTTAGTGCGTTGCTACAAATCTTAAACCCATTCTCCCAGCTTTGGTTTCCATGGACGTGCCCATAATACCCTGAGCTACCACTTTGTGAATACTGTCATGTCTGTGGCGCGCAGGTGAACAGCACTTGCTTGCTGAGAATAGGACGTCCTTCTCAGAAATTGTCGAAAACATGGTCATCCAGGAGGTGGCTGAGAGTGGCGATTTGCAGTTGACTCATGGAGAGCTGAGGGATCTGCTCCTCAGCACTTCGGACAGTCTGCTGAATGATTTTGGGAAGGAGTTCTGGGAGAGGAACTCCCGCAGGTAGGCACACAAGAACCAAGGATGCAAATCCCTTGGCAATATGATTGCATGATTGCAACATGATAACATGAAGTCATCAGAAGCTGGAAGCCAGTTTGGAATCCAACTAGTAAAGTTATTCCTAGGCAATGTTGTTGCAGACCCTTTCCTTAGCTTGTAGGCACACATGAGCCACCAGCACTACTCAGCGGTTTCACATTTGGTGTGACGCACCTTGTTGGCAACTTACCATCCAAGAAATGGCGCTCATTGATTTATTCTTGCGCCAGTCGACTGGACATTGCAGAGCACGTTCATCTCAAGACGTCATGTTTGCAAGGGGACAAGGGTATAACTCCACTTTGTTGGAAGGACTAAAAACCCTTGCAACAAATGGTGATCAATTGCCTTGGACGCTTGGCAACCCACACTGCAATGTGTGCATGTCTATTTCAAGAAGATGGCGTTTTCTGCTTAGGGCAACGTCATGCCATCTGCTTGTTGTGTCATAAAATGAATTAACGCAATTTTGTGCCATGCCCCTGCCAGATGAATTATTGACCAGAACATCGACTGCATCCGAATGCACTTGCGCATGTAGTGCTGAATTTCCCAGTCCTCCAGAAAGATATTGGCACTTCGTGTGTCAAAAATGACTCCAATTATAAGCAACGGCAATGCCCACTTGAATACAATTTCCAGAATAAAGCTAATGCCAAGAATGGGGAGAAAACAGGAATCAGTATGTTGGTGTACTCATTCACTGAGGTGCGCAGCTGCGCCACAACGTCGCCTTCTTCTCATCTTCACCTTGTGTCCAGGGTCGTTCACAAAGATGCCGTGCATGCAGTGCTAGACACACGCCTGGCTGGGGAACCGGATCAGCTCACAAGGGCTCTCGTCAGACTTGATTCTCCAGGGTACATACAGACGGAGGTGGTGCTGAATGAGAAGGTGCATGACACAGTACTTCATGGGGCTATGTTTAAAGTCTGTGCACACTGTTTCCATGTCTTTGTGTGCAGTTTCCCTTGCTCTACTGTTGAAGCGTTGGGACACCATACTCACGTGAATCAAATACGCGGATCCATGGGCCCTATCGGTTAACCTCGCTGCCCAGTGATGAACACTGTAGTCAGTTGGATACAAAGCTGGCAGTCTGTTTGCGGAAGCCACCACATCGCAGAAACTGGCTACCTACACCTTCCTTGTAAAAGTTGTCTTCGAATGGCAGCGGTGATTTGTGCCAGAACCACGGCTTGACACTGCCAAGAATTTGGTCCTCTGTTTCTGCAACTGTGTGTTTTGTAGCGTGCTGAAAAAGGGCACGTGCGACCTTGATTGAAACTCCCTCGATTGAAACTCCCAAATTTTGTAATAGGTGTTTTGCACCTGGACAGTACTGTGCTTTATCTAGATTTGCCCCAACAGGACGGATCCAATAGCAAGCTTTCAGCGAGAGCATGAATTCGCAGAATTGTTTGAGATCTGCTGGTGATTGGTGGGTTTTTTGGTGACAGGATGACGGGGCAGTGGCGGTCTCACACACGCAGTTGCCTCAAAGACCCCATCAGGGATTGCTCCTCTCCTTGCTGATGTTGCAGCCTCGTGCCTTACGGTCTTCCACCATGGACAACGATGCAAACCCATCAAGGGCTACATGTTCCAGAGGCGAGCTGGAGGGGCGCCAAGACTGCACCGCGACTGAAGCGGCATCAGCGCCAGTCTCTCAACTGTCCGAAGGACTCGTGGAGTCAAAGGAGAAGGGCAAACCCTCCTTGAATATTGCTGTTATTGGCGCTGGGTGCGGCGCCCTTCCCTGCGCGCTCTGTGCAAATGACTTTGGCCACGATGTCCACGTAGATGCTGTGGATTCGGATCCCGATGTGTTGAGCGTCGGCAAGCAGTGGTTCGATTTCAGACCGGGGCCGCAGCTGAACATCTACGCCATGGATGGCCTGGACTTCCTGAATTCCCAATCTGAAGCCACATATGACGCCATCCTCATTGACATAACTGCTCCCAGTTCCACTCCTGGCGCTCCACTCGACTGTCCGCCCTACGAGGTCATGTTCCAGGATGGGCTGTACTCGCTGGCACAGAGTCGGCTGCGAAGTGGTGGCGTGATGGCTATAAATGTGCTGGGCGGATTGACGAAGCTGCGCCAAGTGGCTGCATCTGCTGCTGCTGCGGATGGACGCCATCACATCAGGGCTTTGCACTTGCCCTCACAGAGCGTGCTTTTCGCTGTGAAGCTAGGAGATGGGACCGGTCAACCTGAATTTGGCGATGGCAGTGCTGCCAGAGCTGGTTTCGCAGCAACTGGGAAAGCAGCAACCCAGAGATTCTCAGACGCCATGCCTGGGGCCCTGGGTATCAGCATTGCATGCCAGGATACTCTCAACGAAATTGCGGAATTCGCCCGCAAGGAAGGGCATCAATATGGTTGGAAGTCTAGAAGTGCATTGTTGGGTGATGTTCAGGTGGCAGAACAAAAATTTTGATGCGGATTTGTTGATGGGGGTCTCATACAAGAAGGGGTTGGTCCAGTGCCCCCCCATTGGCAATGGGATGCTCAAGCGATTGCTGGCATACTACCTTCCAAGAAATACGATACGAATCAAATGAGAGTATCAATGTCGCTAACGACTAAGCGATATGTGCTAAAACGCATTGCAAAACATTGCAACCTTAGCATTTTGTAGGTTATACTGTTCCAAGGTGATCATCCAGAACATCGCCAACGATTGCTGGCGAGTTTTTCTTGGATGGCCCGGTCGCTACCAGGCACACTCTCACATATCCCCTTTGGAATCCCAGCAGATGTCAATCCTGGTTCAGCAAATGGGAAAAACCACTATGGGACAACAAGGGTCGACATGCTCAGGGATGTCAGGTGTTCCCAAGGCGGCCTAACTTCATGCAGCACGGAATACACAACAAGAGAGAGACATTAACAGGATACAATTACAATATATATTCTGGAGACGGTGTTCCCTGTCACCCAAAGGGTCATGTAAGCAACAAAATCAGCCCAACACCCCAAACTACAACTCATGCACCACAACGGCCTAGATTTAGTTGTTACACTGTACAAATCCAGGCCGTATATTGTACAGCCAGGTGCGACGCCTCCAAGGCGCCTCTACTTCCCCTTTCCGGTCCTCG